ATTTGAATGTGTGGCCGGAACCCGTCGAATGAGCCGCAACTTGAGAGCTCGATCGCCAGGTCCTGGGGAATAGAAGTAAAAAGGGATGTAACATCAAAAGATACCATGACCTCATTTGGATGGATGCTTACCCCTTTGAGTTTCTACAGGAATTCTGCTGACGAAGAGACCGTGGTGTCTGACTCAGCGGTCAGGAACTTGAGACGCCGGAACAGGCACTTAGCCAGTCCGTACGTTGGAGTACCTTCGAGCGACACTATGGGTCGGAGAGGAGCGCCGTCTTTGTGCACCTTAGGGAGGCCAATCGAGACAATCGAGCTGCTTCTACAAAGCAAATACGATGAAACGAGAATCGTATTGGACGCGCCCAAGTCCTTCCGCTCCTGATGTTCTGTCTCAGGACGTACTTCACGTTCGACAGGACAATCTACGAATAGGTGAAGGGCACACCAATGGGTTCGCCGATTTCGGGGTTCATCGCTGAGGCGGTACTGCAACGGTTAGAGTCGCTGGTCTTCCAACACCACAAACAGAAGTTCTGGGCCCGGTATGCGGATGATACCTTCGTCGTTATCGATCGGGATCAACTGGTGACATTCAAGGGACTCCTGAATGCGGTCTTCTCGGACATACAATTTACGATGGCGGAGGAAGAGAACAAACAGCTGGCCTTCCTGGATGTCCTAATATGCCGCAAGGATTGTGGTGGACTAAAGACCAAAGTGTTCAGGAAAGCGACAAATACGGTGCAAGTACTGAACTTCAACAGCAACCACCCAATCAGTCACAAACGCAGTTGTGTAAGGAAGCTCTCTCGGCGTGTTGAAACGCACTGCAGTGAGCCGGAAGACAAGATTGCTGAACTACAATACCTCCGACGGGTATTCAAAGCCAATGGCTACCCGCGCAACTTTGTCAACCGGTGCATACGCAAAAGGAACGAAAGGCCTAACCGCACGGACACCAAAGTTTGGCGAGCGCTTCCATGTGTCAGAAACGTTTCGGAAGCTGTTGGCCGCCTTCTCACACCACTTGGGGTTGGAGTTGCACACAGGCCGGAGGCAGCCATCAGGCGTCAGTTGATGAAACCAAAAGACCCACTGCCACGGCAAGAAACGTCTGGAGTCGTTTATCGGATCTGGTGCAGTTGCGGACAAAGCAACTACGTCGGAGAAACCGGAAGACAGCTCCGAACGCGAATGGCCAACCACGCTGCAGCAGTGCGGAGAAATGACGCCAGCTCTCAAGTCGCGGCTCAATCGACGGGTTCCGGCCACACATTCAAATTTGACGAGGCCTAAATTCTCGCAGGAGGTGACAAACGCGTGAGCCGGGAGCTGCTTGAGTCATGGTTCACTGGCCCCCAGTCTATTAACAAGTGCAATGATCTTCCCATGCAATACACCGTGCTGAGACTTCATCTAGGCGGAGTAATTGGCCACGCGGGGAGCGCACTGGTGAACACTTTTCCCAACACCAGAATCGGTGGGTCAGATGGTCGAGCAATCCTCACACCAACATCCAACGCACGTGATGAAATTGCAGCAATTAACGACGCGAATATCGGCCATCACGCCACGGGCAACGATCCCTGATGAAGGGGAGGGAGCCGTGAATATTCATAGGTATGCGGTAGCATGGCTACTGCATCCTATAAATACTGCAGCCGCATGTGCATGAACCACCCCTTATCTGCTTATGTCTCTGATGATGGATTCGAGCAGGAATTCGAAACGTCAGGCTAATAAAGCTCTTGTCCCGGCGATCGTGTCTTCTTCTTCTTCTTCGTCTTCCAGACTTGTGATATTAGCATATTATTTGCCGCAGTATAGAATGAATGCAAAGCGGTGAGTGCTAGATTACCTAAACAAAAAGCACACTTGCATATTTGGGATCTGTTGAGAAGCGTATTGTTCGTTAAAAGTTTATCTGGTAGCACACAGGCGTCCATTTCGAAGTGTAGAGCGCCACATCATTCTACAGTAGTCAATGCTATTCACGACTGCGCTGAAGGGCCGTTGGTAAAAAGTCCTCTGTCCTTAGCTGCAGGTAATGAGTACCGCAGCTGGAACTGCTTACCTCCAGCATGGCATGACGAATTGGTCGTAGCCGGTAACCCGCGGGGAGGGGGGGGGGGAGGATGAAGAAAACTGCCCGTTTCCAAAGCGCAGGTACCG